ATTATGTCTTTTTGCTTAGAATCAGCCTTGACTTATCTCTTCACACTTCTCGACCTATTTCAACACAAACAAGATTTAAAAATTGCTTGTTAGCTAGCGTTCTCATCAATACTATATATATATATATATATATATATATATATATATATATATATATATATATATATATATATATATATATATATTTGAAGTATTTGTATTACTTACAATTTTATCAAACACTCCCTTTGTTTTTTCATTGGGAATGTAATAACTTCCATTTTCAGATTATTTAGATCTCGCTCGAAAAATCCAAACAGCGATCACTAGCTACTATGGTCGATGTAATAGAAGCACAAGAAGATTATGAAGACAATGGGTCGCATATCAACCACTCAAATTGCTTTCCAACATTGCCCCCAGACCTTAAAAAGTGGGGATGCTCATTTCGTGCTTGCAACTCCCTATACTTTTGACTTTTGGCATAAAATAGAATTTATTATTAAATAATAAGATAATAGTAATAAAGCATTAAGACTAATAAAACATGATTATTAAGGAAGTGAATTAAGTAGTGTACCTTGAACTGTTCAGTTTGACGATTTTCTTCAAATTTGTTCCATTGTTTTTCATTCAAGTAGTCATATAACTCTATGAGAGAACTATATCTAGGGTGTTTTTTGTGGATGAAATCACGCACCAATCTTGTTTTGAAATTTTTCCAACGTGCCCGCGCATTGTTCAAAACATTTGTTCATGTTTCATCAAGGGTATTAAAGTCTTTCTGAATAACAACAATAAAATAACACTTGGCAACTGGTTCCTCGCGGAACGATTGTTCTGATTCGCTGCAAATGAGTCTTCCGTGTTAAGCGCAAATCGGATGGGTCGGTTGATCGTTTTAAACAGCGACTTGTCGCTAAGAGATTCTTGCAGACTGCTGGCTGGGATTATTTTGAGACATATAGCCCGGTTATGAAACCGGTCACGGTCCGTGTCGTTCTGACCATTGCTTTGAGTAATCGCTGGGGCTTGCGCCAGCTAGATATCAATAATGTGTTCCTTAATGGAACATTGCATGAGGAAGTGTTTATGGAGCAACCTCCCAGGTTTGTTAATCCATCCTTTCCGGCTCATGTCTGCAAACTGACCAAAGCCTTATATGGTCTTAAACAGGCTCACAGGGTTTGGTACTTGGAACTTTCCCAGTTCTTATTGCGTTATGGGTTTTTGATGTCACAGGCAGATGCGTCTTTGTTTGTTTATTTTGCTAATAATATTATTGTTCATTTCCTGGTGTATGTCGATGATATTATACTAACAGGAAACAATGTTGCATGGGTTGATCAATTTGTTGAACCTCTGTCAGCTCGCTTTGCCCTTAAGGACCTTGGTCCCTTGCATCACTTTCTAGGTGTTGAAGTAGTTCTAACACCAACTGGAATGTTCCTATCTCAGAGTCAATATATCACAGACATACTGGTTCGTTTTGAGATGGATGGTGCAAAGGCTGTTTCAACACCACATGCAACAGACAAGTTGCTCCCTGTGCAATCTAGTACTGCTACGGTGGACATAACTCAGTACGAGCGTCTTCTTGGCTTGTTGTAGTACCTGGTCATCACTCGGCCTGATGTGTCCTATGCAGTTAACTGGCTCTCACAGTTCATGCATATGCCTATGGAGGTGCACTGGCAAGTTACGAAACGGTTTTTACGCTACCTGAAGGGTACGGAGTACCATGGGTTGTACCTTCATGCTGGGCAGCCTCTCTCACTCAGTGTGTATGTAACACCCCGTGTTACGGCCTTTAATCCTGGACTAATCATTAAATCAATCCCGTTAATAATAATTAAAAAAGGTTTAAAATTGGTTAGGATTCCCTTCAATTAATTAGTGTGGTCCACAATGGACCATGAACCCTTATCCTTAAACCAAATCCTTAATCCTATAAGAAATAGGATTAGTGGACCCTTACCATTCAGACCCTAGTTGGGACTCCTAAATCTATATATAGGGACTCAGGAAACATTTTAGAAACCCTACCACATTTAATTCTACCACACACCTACAAAGGGATCCCCTGCCACCAAACGTAGAGGAATCCACTGGAGGGAAATCATAGAGAGAAGAACCTTAGTAGCCAAGGATATCGATTAGGGCTAAGAGGTAACCCATGTCTCGACAAAACCTATTTTCCTTGCTATATCTTATTCATTGGCTCCTTTGAAATATGATTCTGTGCTTGAGTCCTGATAGAGCTTTGCCTAGGATTTATGTTGTGTTTATGTGATAATCTTGATGTTCTTGATGCTATGATTGATTATATGAATGATCTTGTATTTTGATTATGTCTAAAGCCCTATGTTTATATCGTGGATTTCGTATTATGATGTTCTTGGTATATTTCGATGGGATTATGCATGATCGGGTGTTGAGTAGCCTAGGACTTGTATTTAGGACTTTGCATATAGATTTCTTAATGTTCTTGTGGTTCCGGATGCTCCTGAACCGTTATATGATTTATGTTGGGTCTTGGTATGTTTAGGAATCATGTTAGAACGTACTTGGTGTGATTCTTGGTTTAATTCCGTTAATTGACCACCCGTCACCTACCCGTTGCCCGTGTCAATGTTCCAGCGGGCAGCCGGCGGGCGGTGGTCTGCCCCCGGCCACCCGTTGGAATAGCGTGTGGCCGCCGGCGAGTGGTCCTCCACTCGCCACCTACCCGCTAGAAACCGGTCGAGGTTCGTGATGTTTCCCTCCTCCACCCCCGCGTTTGTTGTTTCCCTATGTCCCGTTGTACCCCGTTTGTCGTGTATCAGTCTCGTTTGGTGTTTTAGGTATCGTTCTAGGAATTTGTGTGTAATACGTGTCGTTGTTGTTGTGTCATGATTGTTATTTGGTTATGTGTAAATTGATTGAATGATGATGAGTATCGTGGTCATTGCGCAATGGCCGGTGTAATTAATGATGATGATGATGAGATTGTGATTGGTGGAAATGAATTATTGGCGGTTGGCACCACTTGTGCCCGGTCGTTGTACTAAAGGTATAGGCCATAGCGGTGACTGTGCTAAAGGCACACACCCACCTTCGACTAGCTTGCCGTTGAGCATTGGTCAGGTTATAAGTGCTGAAGTGTCATTTTAGAGCTATATGCGCTAACCCCTTGATAGTGGCACTAGAGGTGTGGATCATTGAATGGCACTACGGCACCATCTTGTTATGTTGGTGGTTGATAGGTGGTTTGTCGGTGGGGGCATGCAGTTGCCCGGAGGCATAAGGGGTGGGGATGTAAGGGTGGCCTGGAGGTATAGGTAGGAACTGATATACGGATGGAGGGGAGCTACAAGGTTGGAACTTGGTATAAGGTTGGTGGATGAATTGTGTGCTTTGATGACTACTTGCTAATTGATTGTCTTATATGCCTTCGTTGCCTCTAATTGTTAGTTGTATGCTCATCTGGCTGTTCTGTCTTGTATTGCATTCCTAGGTTGCATGTTAGTCTTTATGATTATTCTATACTGTGGAGTCTGTTAATGTGCCTTGAGTCTTGATCTTGGATTTAAATTTAGAGTCTCGTAAGTATATATGTATACCAGTTTCAAAATGAGTTTCTTATATCTACCTATATTGTACTTAACACGTTGAACTACAAGAAAAATGCACATAGACAACGGTTAATAACCGTTGTCGTAGGGGTATAATTTCTGTTGTTGAAGCCGGTGTTGTTGTAAGTCCCGCGCATAGACAACGGTTTTTTAACCGTTGTCTTTTCTAGAAACAACAACGGTTTTTTAACCGTTGTCTATTAAGTGTTGTTGAAGCTGGTGTTGTTGTAAGTCACGCACATAGACAACGGTTAATAACCGTTGTCTTTTCTAGAAACGACAACGGTTTTTTAACTGTTGTCTATTAAGTGTTGTTGAAACCAGTGTTGTTAAAAGTCACGCACATAGACAACGGTTAATAACCGTTGTCTTTTCTAGAAACGACAACGATTTTTTAACCGTTGTCTATTAAGTGTTGTTGAAACCAGTGTTGTTAAAAGTCACGCACATAGACAACGGTTTTTAACCGTTGTCTTTTCTATAAACGACAACGGTGTTTTAACCGTTGTCTATTAAGTGTTGTTGAAACCGGTGTTGTTAAAAGTCACGAATATAGACAACGGTTTTTAACCGTTGTCTTTTCTAGAAAAGACAACAGTTTAAGAACTGTTGTCTATTGAGTGTTGTTGAAACCGGTGTTGTTAAAAGTCACGTACATAGACAACGGTTTTAAACTGTTGTCGTTTCTTTCAAAGACAACAGTTTTTGACCCGTTGTCTATTCAATGTTGTTGAAACCGGTGTTGTTAAAAGTCATGCACATAAATAACGATTTTTAACTGTTGTCTTTTTCTTTAAAAGACAACAGTTATAAACTATTGTCTATTGTGTGTTGTTGAAATCGCTGTTGTTAAAAGTGACGCCCATAAACTGTTGTCTTTTGTAAAAAAGACAACAGTTTCAAACTACTATCTATTGTAAAATAGACAACGATTTTTAAACTTTGTCTCAACCCATTTTTAACCTGCTTAAATTTTAATCATATAAAAAAACTCAATTTATCCATTCACCATGGCCAAGTATAGTTACATAATTTTGCAGAAGCTAAGCAATGTTCAAAATAACAAGTCAAAATACTTTCATTACCAATTCTAATCGAATCATCATCCAAGTCATAATACTACAAAAAACAATTATACGAACCAAGTCTAAATGATTACAACGTCAAATCATACCTACTCTATATAACTTGATAGAATATCAGCACATTCTGAACGCACCAGATCTATAACCGCTTTGTCATAATCAACTTGTTAGAACTACATGTAAAAAGTGAGTAAATAAATTAGTATATATATAATAAATTTGCAATGAAATGCGAAATAAGTTAGGAGTAATTCGGAAAGCAAAAAAAGTAAGGTTATAGGAGCCAGAGTTCACAATATACCCAACTATCATCTTTTGTAATATAGAGCAAAAAAACTAACACTCCCTTTGAAATTGTGGTGAACAAGTCAGAATTTCATATATTTAAAAGAAGCAAAAACAAGGAGATAGCACCTCTCAGTAAAGTCGCGATACTGCTCTGAGAAGTCCTCCCCCAACCGGTCTGATGGTTGACCAGTTACAATCTTATAGCCGCAAAGACTATTTGTTGCATTAGGAGTCTGTAAAAATAATAAATTAACTGAATGTAAATTCATTTGACTACGCATATAAAGCACAGCACAAAAGAAGGGCGCAAAAGATTGATTCTTACCTTATGAGCCAGGAGGTGAAATGCATACAACAAGCACTCAATATATGTAAAGTTTATTTCTTCAATCTTTTTCCGAACCATGTATTTCTGAGAGGAAAATCATATATTGGAAGTTTCAATGAGAATGTAAGTATCCCAATACGAAAATGAAGGTATAGCAACTGCATAGAAGAAAAACAGATATTGTTGTCTCCTAAAAGACCTAAGATCTGTGAGTAAAGGCCAACAATTAAGGGATTGCATTCTAAAGATGCAAAAGAACATAACTGCCCAATGAATTGGCAAAACCGAAAAATTGAAACAGTAGATCACATCTAAAGCCAACCAGCAGCAAGGATTCAATATGCAAGTCCCATGAATAAGACTACTACTATAACTAATATGGAAATGCAAGTTCCATGAATGCATTTTAGCAACAGGTACAACATTGTGTAATTATTTGAAAATTGCCATTTCAACTCTGCCAAAGCACCAAACATGCAGATCCACATAGGAGGAACAAGCAAATATGCAAGTCTCTTTCACACATTATGGCATTACCTTTAGAAGCTGAACAATGGATGGAAGAAGCTGACGAGAATCTTGTGGGTTTGCATTGGGGGAACAATCTGCTACATTCTTCAGCAAGTCCAACTTTTAATTCGCTCTTCTGAAAGCTGAATATATAAAAGTATTACTTGCATAGTTGCATCTAATAGTTCCGAAATAATCCAAAATGAAGAAAAGAAAAAAACAAAAATTGAATTAAGAAATACAGGAAGTTCTACAAAATGTATTGTAGTTGCTGAACAAGGCCTTGTGAAAGCCAATTTACATCATAAAATAACATTTCATCATTAAATAATTACTAGCACATAAACATCATAAATCATAATATGTTTTATGTCCAAAATGGAAACTCATTAAGCAGCTTTCATAAAACATTTCAAATAGCCAACTTGCAAACATAGTCCTTGCAATAGGAACACAGATTATATACCCGAGGTAATCGACAATGCAGAAATAAAAAGAAAAATAAATGAAGTATCCCTAAGTATCATATTATTTAAACAAAATGAGAAACATAGATTATGTCACTCAAGCAGTACCTTGTCAAAAACAGGAAAAATTTGCTTATTCAGATAGTTAACTCTGTGCGGACCAATATAATGAGAAACAATATATAACTTGGGAGGGTCATCCATTAAGGCACCATAGAGAATGTGGTTCAGGAAAACACAAAGAAAGTAAGAAAATACACATATACACCCAAGTAATGGAGAGTAGCAAGAAAATTTTATTTTAAGAAATTAAATTGTGTGTACAACACCAAAATACTATGAGAATTGACAAAGAACTTAGGAGGCTTGTCCATTTAGCCACCATGGATAAGAAGAGTCAAAGACAATGAAAGGTTTGAGAGAGTAGGGGCATGTAAAAAGAAAGAAACAATAGAAAGGGCAAAGTATTGGACAATACCATCATTCTTCATTCCAACTAAAAGTTCACTCTCCTCCCCAGGAATCGAATATTTCATTGTGATAATGAATGGAGTAGTATAGGAACTATTCCTATAAATTACAGGTTAGAAGAACTCGAGAAATTTTGATTGAATTCTGACACAATTGCATAGTCAACCTAAGGAATAAAAAATTCAAAATATACCATAATTTTTCAAACTGCAAAGTGCAAAAAAATAGTAAACATATTTTGCTCAGATTATGATGCTCCTGGACTTTGGTGTACAACAATGGCTTATAGTGCCGATTGGACTAGGTATGCTCAAAAGTCAGCATTATTAGATGTTTGTTGATTAAGAAATGGTTGATTTATCTTGTTTATCACTTGTATATGTTAGACTTACTTCAGTAATTCATAATCAGAGTTCAGTTTCCTCTGATTAGACTTAACCTTTGTGTAAAATATGACATTTCTAATCATTCATTTAAGTTTTCTTTTTTACTACTGCCTGCAATGAAATAGCTAATCACTAATTAGGAGCTCTCAGCCCAAATAGTACAGTAAATTCTACAAAAACATATGGAAAAACAGATGGAATTTGAAAAAACAGATGCAAAGAAAAAAAAATTCTTTTAACCTATATGCAAAAACATAATGGAATTTGAACTTACCAACTTACCACAATATACCAAATATACGGTAGGTTCCATTCCAGTATACACTCACCTAGCAGCCTAGCTCCTCTCATAAACTAACCTAATAATCCACAACTAACCTAGGGTTTAAGAACATTTATAGCTTTCAAATATGGAAATTCAACAATACAATTAAGAAATTAGGGATTAGGGTTAAAAATTGAGGACTAACCTTGTAGTGAGGCCGAAGGATGTTGGAGCGACGGCGGTGGCTGGACGGAGAGGGAAGACGCGACGGCGGTGGCTGGACGGAGAGGGAAGACGCGACGGCGGTGACTGGCCGGGGAGGGAGGACGGCGACGGCGGTGGCTGGCCAGGGAGGGATAAACGGCGTAGGTGTTTCTCGCTACTGCGGTGATGGCGCCGAGGTTACCACCGTGTTGGCGAGAGATTGAAGTTCGCCGTGGGAGAAGCTGTTATCGTCGATCTACTGTGTGTTCGCTAAGTCTACTGACTTTTGTTTTTGCAGAGGGCCGTCGTGTGAGTTTTCAGTTGTTTATGAGGGAATTGATTTTCTTTCGCGCTAAGTAGCTGTGTGTGAGGTTTTTGTTTGGGAGGGAATTGAATTTTTTCGCCAAGTGTATCGTGCAAGTGTGTTTTTGGGAGGGAAACAAAAAACTTAAAATGAAGGAATATATATATATATATATATATATATATATATATATATATATATATATATAGGTTTTTGTTTGGGAGGGAATTGAATTTTTTTGCCAAGTGTATCGTGCAAGTGTGTTTTTGGGAGGGAAACAAAAAACTTAAAATGAAGGAATATATATATATATATATATATATATAATCGTTATGCCCTGAACCCGTGTCCAGCCTATAATGTGGACACAGTAACAGTGTCATTAGTGGCACCGTTATCTTCCACCTTTTTAAAATAAATAAATAAATAAATTCATATATACCGCTTCTTATAGGAGCATATGTTCATAATTTTATCACTATATGTTCGTAATTGGAAGTTTATAGTGTCAGAGCTCTGTGTTCATAGTTCCATAACTGTACATTCATAATTCTATAATTGTACATTCATAATTCCGTAACTGTACATTAATAATTCAATAATTGTAAAGTCATAATTTTCGAAGCTCTATGTTCACAATTTTAATTTAGAGCTCTATGTTCATAATTTTATCACTATATGTTCATAATTGTAAGTTCATAATGTCAGAGCTCTGTGTTCATAATTCCATAACTGTACATTCATAATTCCATAACTGTACATTCATAATTCCATAACTGTATATTCATAACGTCGACGAGACAAAATCAATTTTTTTTTAACTAGAATGACGCGTTTTTCCTGAAAATGACGTCGTTTTGGACTCGTGTCCACAATGCATTGTGGACACGACTCCAGAGCATAATTTGCGATTAAAATAGTACCGGGTATATAGGTACATAACACAAGATTCGTAGATTTCTATATTGTAGATTCATAATTTCTATACAGTATATTTCTAATTTAAATACAGTTGTATAGATTCATAATTGGGAATATGAACATCGCAAATTATGAACATAAAGTTCTGTAAATGTGAATATAGATCAGAGTTCAATATTATGAATATGAATTTCAATTCAAAAATACAGTTCGGTAATTATGAACATACAACAGTGTGCACCATGCATGGCGCACATGGTTGCACAACATAATTTTCCCTTTAGTACCCGGAGGTTTATTATCCAGACAGCTCGCAGCGCAATTATATTACAAAGCTAAGATCACGGCAAAAGAAATGGGATATAGCTAAATGTACGGCATTGATCAACTACTCTTTCATATTCATTCTCCACGTGTCTCACTTTTGGGGGCCCAATTTTTTTTTTAAAAAATATTATAGATACAATCTATTGTTTTTTATACTTATAATTTATTTTTATTTTTTTTGAATTCATAGATTGGTCTTAATTGTAATATAATTGAAAATAAAACTTTAATTAATTGACTTTGAAATTTTGGTGAACAATTTTATATTTAAATATGAACGAAAATAGAACTATTAAATTAACTTTTGAATTTATCTTTCTTTGTTAAATTTTTATGCAATATATTTGGACAAAAAATTTTAATTAGATTTTTATTCTTGTTAACAACCGCAGGATATAATAGTTAAAAGATAAGGTATAACACTTTAGTACACGAGTTTGTGTGGCTTGGTGGATTTAGCTTTGTTTGTTATGTTAAAGGTCTTGGGTTCTATCCTTTGTGGTGGCATCCTTAACTTATTCTATACCATCATTGTCTTGGTTCTCAACGACAACACATAAGCAAACTGGTCATATCATAGATGTTGCGCTTGTGTGGCTTGGATTTAGCTTAGTTTTTTCTTGAGGGATCCTTCAACTATTTTCTAAAATTGTTGTCTTGGTTTTCACAAACAACACAGAAACAACCCAGTTATATACCATATGTTGCACTTTTAAATATAAGAGTTTGTGTTGCTTAATTGGTTAAGCCTTATTTGTTAAGGTAGAGGTCATAGGTTCGATTCTTGTTGTTAACATCCTTGCTTATATTTTATACAATTGTTAAATAATGATGCACAAAGACAACGATTTTAAAAACCGTTGTCTTTGTAGTGTTGTGTATTCAAATACGCTTAAAGACAACATACCAAAGACAAAGATTAAATAAAACCGTTGTGTTAAACAAATAAAGAACGCGCAACGACAACGGTTCGTTGTATTCAAGTGCTATTAAAGACAACACATAAATGACAACAGTTAAATAAAACCGTTGTCTTTTATAAAATAATAATGCAGAAAGACAACGTTTTTAAAAGACCGTTGTCTTTGTAGTGTTGTGTATTCTAGTGCGCTTAAAGACAACACACGAACGACAACGGTTAAATAAAACCGTTGTCTTTTAAAAAAAAAAAAAAAAAGTGCACAAAGACAACGGTTTTACACAACCGTTGTCTTTCTAATGTTGTGTATTCTAGTGCGCTTAAAGACAACACACCAACGACAACGATTAAAAAAACCGTTGTCTTTAAAAAAAAAAACGCACATAGACAACGGTTTTAAAAAACCATTGTCGTTGTGGTGTTGTCTTTTCAAAAAATGCACAAAGACAACACACTTATAACAACGGTTAACTAAAAACCGTTGTCGTTGACAAAAGTGTTGCATTAACGACAACGGTTTTGGACCAAACTGTTGTCTTTTATACAAAAGACAACACTTTTCTTAAAAACTGTTGTCGTTCTAGTGTTGTCTATGTGCATTTTTCTTGTAGTGTTGGAGTGGTTTACCAGCATTATTCGCTGACGGTTGTTGTACCGAATGTTTTTAGGTAATGAGCATTAGCTTCGGAGCACGCTAGTCAGAGCCTTGGACTTAGTTTAATTATCCTTAGCTCAGTAGTTGGCCTGCGTGCCTTGGGATTGTATTTGAATATTGAATTAAGGTTTTAGTATGCTTAGTTAACTTAGCCTGTGCACCTAGGTTCTCAAACCTAGGTGTGGCATAACACCCCGACACTTATGGTTAGCTCTATGCTCTGTTTGGGATTCGATCGATGGAATTGCCATTATTTTTATAAGTTTTAATTATCTCGGAATTTAGGGGTGTTACAGTGTATACAGATGCTGATTGGGGTGGCTGCACTTCCAGTGGGCGGTCTACTACCGCTTACCTGTTGTATCTTGGGACCAATCTCGTCTTTTGGAAATCCACACGTCATAAATCGGTTTCGCGCTCGTCTACAGAAGCCGAATATCGAGGCTTGGTGAATGCTGCTGCAGAAGTTTTGTGGGTTAAGAATCTGTTGCATGAGCTTCGGTTGCAGCTGTTGGGGCGTCCGGTTCTGCTATGTGACACCTCAGCGCTACGTATGTCTATAAGAATCCGGTGTTTCATTCGCGTATGAAACACCTCGCGCTTGACTATTTTTTTGTTCGTGACCTGGTTTGTAATGGTTCACTGGTGGTTCGGCACATTTCTTCGTCTGATCAGCATGCTGATTTTCTTACGAAGCCGTTGGGCCGTTCATTGTTTCTTCTGTTCCGTTCTAAGATTGGAGTCTCCCACGGATCCTCTATCTTGCGGGGGCGTGTTAAGGATATCTGTGACTGACATCCTTTGTGTATGTTTAGTTCTAGATACATTCCTGTTATGTAGCAGTATTAGACTGGTTGTTACAACAACCTGCTATCTTCTCTCCATTGTATGCTATTTAAAGCTGATTGTTTACATCAATAAGATCAGTCAAGTTCATAATCTATTATCTTGACATTAACACACACGCACACACACACACAGATATATATATATATATATATATATATATATATATATATATATATATATATAATGAAGTAATGATCAATATATAAATTAAATTAGTGGTTATTACCTTAAGATCCTATCAAATCAATTCTTTAACCTCGCTGGAGACTTGAGTTCAATTTTCAATGTTAATGTCTATGTGATTATGAACCAAAATGCCAATGTAATTTGCGAACCTCTTTGCATTTGGGCCGATATGCCTATTATGTTCATTGAACTAAATTGCAATAGACTCATCTTCTGGCTTCGTCTTTTTCATTTTCCTGCAAAATGTAGGTCCTCTTGCTTTACGCACTAGGATAGGCTATGTATGCTCTTCAGGCTCTAGCATCGGATTTGTATATATATATATATATATATATATATATATATATATATATATATATATATATATATATATATATATATATATATATATATATATATATACACCTGTACATGCATAAGATAACTATGTTATTAAAACATGTTATAAAAAAATAAGACTACATTTTAGAAATTATACAATTAAATGGTCGATCCACAATCCTTTTTCATGATCAGTACGCATGTAATTAGTATCAATGCTATGTTCACCTAAAGCCACCGATTGAATACCAATAGAAAATGGTGGTATTTCATCAAATTGGTAATATTCTTCTTCATCTAGAACATCACGAACACCAACGATACATCTTTTGCCTTGTAAGAGAACTGACCACTTACTATCAATAGGATCAGAAACATAAAAGACTTATTTAACTTGAGATGCAAGTATAAACGGTTCATCATGATATCCTAGCTGACCAAAATCAACTAACGTAAAATTCAACCAGAGGTTTCACCAGCTGTAACCGGAGCTCATGCAATAAATACCTAATCCATAGGAATTTGGTGGCAGCGTTTGCCAAGGCTCGATATTCATCTTCGGGAGACGAACGCGAAACAGACTTCTGACGTGTGCACTTCCAAGAAATAAGATTAGAGCAAAAATACAATACATATGCGGTGGTGCAACGACTATCGGTGGTGCAGCCTCCCCAATCAGCATCGGTATACACACTGAGTGATAGTGGTTGCTCAGTACGGAGGAACAAATTGTGACACACCATACCCTTTTAAATAGTGTAACAGTCATTTAGCAGCCCGCCAATGCAACTTTGTAGGTGTATGACAGTATGCATGATTTGAGAAA